AGAGATTCACAGGTTTCGGGCGAGCCGTTTTCAAATACCATGGCGAAAGACCCAACCATATGCAATTGCGAATACAGCGGTAGAGGTACCAACCGCTTTCGGTGGAGCTCCTTTGGGGCCACGAAATGTGCGAAGGGTGTACCGACATCAGCGTGGTGCCATGCGGGCGCAGCCACTGGGACCCTCGGTGGAGCACCCACATAGGGCCACGAAACAGTTAACGGGTGTGCCGAAATGGGTGCTATGCTGCCGTGCGAGCGCAGCCACTGGGGCCTTCGGTGCAGCTCCGCATGGGGCTACGACACGTGTGAGAGATGTGCCAGAATTGGTGCGGTGGTGCCATGCGAGCGCAGCCACTGGGGCCCTCGGAGGAGCTCCCTATGGGGCCACGCACGTGTGAGGGGCGTGCCGATATGACCGCGGTGGTGCCATGCGAGCGCAGCCACTGTGGCCTCCGGTGGAGCTCCCCATGGGGCCACGAAAAGTGTGAGGGGTGTGCCGACATGGGGTGCGGAGGACAGAAGCAAGGAGGGGGAGGAGGGAGGAGGGGGAGGAGGAAGGAGTGAGAGACGCGGGGCGCTGTCTCTTCAAAACGGGCACCCAACATCACAGGATGATTGGGACAAATTGCAAGAGCTTCACGGGTTGAGGGCATTTCGTTTTCAAAATGTGGCCCTCGCCATAGCGCCGCGCACAGTCGTTTGACAAAATTGCAAAGCGCCGCGCACATTCGTTTGACTAAATTGCAAGAGTATTAAGGATTGAGGGTGGCTGCTTTTATACATGTGGCTCTCGCCCTAGCACCGTACACATTCGGTTGAACAAAATGCACGAGCTTCACGGATTGAGGGCGGTTCCTTTCCAAAATGTGGTCCTCGCCTTAACGCCGTGCATGTACAGTTTAAACCGTTGCGCAAGTTCAAATGGCTCTCATGGCTAACGTACCAAAAACGGTGTTTGGAACGATGCAGGACTGTCAAGATACAACCGTTACGTTGATTCGTGGTGCTGAAGTCCCAGGAATGGCACTCTGGCACAATTCAGGATCGTCAAGACGCAACGGTGTGGCGTCGAAGTCCTGAGAATAGTGTTTTGGCACTCTTTTGGACTTTCACACGGCTGTCCCCCAACGGGGCGCTTCCCTCAGTGGGAAGAAATCGTTGTAGGAGCCTAAGAAGAGGGAGCATGGAGGAAGGGTGTATTAAAACGTCGTTGATGAGTCTTGAGTTTATACTGGTCCTCCTCCTCCTCCGCAACCACCACCTCATCATTATCACCATTGTTCACGGTGGGGCACTCGCACGGCCATCTCTGGGTCTGTCTTAGGGGCATGCGGGCCCGTGGTGGGCTTCTCTTGGGGCCCTCTCGTACCCTCTTCTGGCCATCCTGAAGCCATCTCAGACACAGGCAGAGGTAAAGGTAGAAGAGGGGCGGAGATAAAGGGAGAGACCGTTGTTGCGCGACCACGCAGGAGATCCGCACAAGCGGTCGTCCAACCCTTTGTCGGTAGATATGATGGCCAAGGCGCCGGCTTCTGAGCCGATAACACCAGACGGCGCAGCTCAGGGCGCAGCTCAGGCCGAGCGAGAGGCCAAGCAGGAGAGCATGGGCAGTCGAGTGGCGCTCGGGCACGTGCCCGCGGCGTTCGGTCTGTAACCAGCGGGCGAGGCACCCGAGGGTACACACCAACGCCACCCTGCACTGACTGCGGAAAAGAGAGAAATGAAAAGGCGAGAGGCTCGCGCGTGCGCAAACCGGCATTCAGCCGGCGTTGGCACGGGATCCCACGCGACTGGTAGGGCGTGCGCAGCAGTGCCTGCGAGCCCCCAGGGCCTCCTCCATCCTCCACCTCCTTCTGCACTTTCTCATCCGCCCTCTCTTGGGGGTCCCCAGGGCGGTGCGGCGATGGACCGCGCGGCGACCTCGGAATTCGCCGCACGGTCCGTCACCGCACGGTTCTGGGACGTTCGAGACATCCTCGGAGAACGACCCGAGTTGGAGGCGGCGGGGGGTTCTGAACTGCTGGTTGGGACCCCAGATATCTCACGACTGGCGTCCCCTGCAGCAGAATCCACGAACAAAAAACGAAACAAAAACACGAACACGCGAAAACAAAGTGCGGGACAAAAACTATGCCTACCTGTGCGTCTTGGGGGAGCACTGTTTGTGACACGATTTGTCAGCGCAGACTCCGTTGTGTATTCATGGGCGACGTGTGAATCAATTGTTGTTGTTTCACGCTTTGCTGCGCTTTTTGCTGCGCGGGGACTTTACTTTTGTTGTCCTTGTTGCACCGCTATTCTTTGTACATACATTGATAAAAGCGTTTTCATTTTGTTATCAGGAGACCACAACTATCAAAAATCGGTCAGGAGGGGGGTGAAGCCCAATGCCCTAAAAATCCGTCTCCAGAATCCTCGTAGGGTCCATATGGTGTAATTGATCGCCCCCGATCCATTTCTGACAGTCCCGGGGCACGAAAATGAACCTCTGGCAGAAAAAAAAAAAAACCTTCTCAAGCCCAGAGCCTCGAACTTGCCCCCCTCCTGCTGGCCGAAACCACTGTCGGAACACCTGAGACCCCCAGCCGGCTCTCTACGACCCAGGTCCCAAAACCGTGCGGTCACTCCGAATCCCTCTGACTCACCACACGGTAGGGTCACCGTACTGTTTGGAGGCCCCCGATTCTGCTCCTCCTCCTTAGTTAGACGGCAGCCTCAGCAGGTCCACTCCTGGACATGCTCGGGCCGATCCCGAGCTTCGGCTCGATGGCGCTGCCTCACATCCTTGCTTAAGTGCATGCTCAGTAAGTGCATGGTCATACACCTTCCTGAACACAGCAACTCGTCTGGAGATCGTTTCTGGACGGGCTGCGAACCTGAAGCCAGGGTAGATTGTAGAGGCTGCGAACCTTGCGATGGCTGGAGAGCCGTGAGTCACAAAGAAAATGCAGTGCTCATCCTCCAAACGGCTCAGCGCTGCCGTTTTCCCGCAGAGCATCCAACCGCGAAGGACACCACAAGACCAGATGGTCGCATGCTCGTGAGAATGAGGAACGATCGGCAATAGCACCTTGATGCTCGGTGCCAGCATGCCGAGGCGGAGTCGTCTAGTCTGGCGCGGTACAGTTGGGGCGCTGACCTGGGGAACCCCAGATGAGGAACGAGGCCCCTCTTTCCCCATTAGTTAAGCTTCGGAGGAAAGCCCAAGAACAAAACAGAACAGAAGCCTTGCGCCGGCCACAGCGCGTGAGCAATGGGTGAAAATGTGCACGGAAACGGATGCCTTCAGCACGCCGCCCATGCCTTGACCGCCTGCTCCCACCTGCGAGCTGCACCGCCCTCTCGGCGGAAGTAATCAGCAAGGCAAAGGCAAACTGTAAAACAGCTAAGGAACACTGAGCCCCTCGCCAACGAAAAGGGTTCCTTCGTCAGCGCCCTGACTGTAGGCAGATCCCTGAAGCCCCCCCTTCCTGCTGTGCTCATTCAAGATATCGCCTGGGGCGTTCGCACTCGGATGCTGATGGCGAGCAACAGGACAGATGTGTGACAAATCGTCCGAACCATCACACCCGAAGCTCGTGCAAAGACCGTCACCAAGCTCACCGACGTAAAATCAAGAAAACCATAAATGCAGACCTTAGCGACTGGGAAAGCGCGCGCGTTGGCAGGAAGACCACCCGAGTCTGCAGGGTCAAACCCTTTGTACGCGAACTGCGCTCTGAACATCCCAACGAGTGCGTCAGTGTGGTGTGTGCTTGTGCGCATATGGTGCTGAACGGCCAGGACACATAGATACAGTTCCGCCTAGCGACAAGATCTCTGGGTACAAACTGAAAACAATGACTGATTAGCTAATCCTACTCATGCTCCTACCTCTTGAGATCTGGTCGGGTCTCCCCGAGGATCCCCTCCCCGTTTGACAGTTTGTCATACATTCGCACGCCTCCGAGCTGCACTTCAATGTCACATGATCATGATGGCCCAGCGGCCGTTCAGCCTCGCGTGAAGGAGGAGGAGGAGGAGGAGGAGGCGGAGGCGGAGGCTGAGGCTGAGGAGGATCGAGGATCGAGGATCGAGGATCGAGGATCGAGGATCGAGGATCGAGGGGGAGGAGGAGGAGGAGGAGGAGGAGGAGGAGGAGGAGACTGCCCCTCGTGCTCCCCACCCTCCCCACCATCCAACCGTCCGCCCCACTGGAAAGGCGAGCGCCCCGCGGGCCCACAAATGCAGGCGGGAGCTCCTCCTGGACAAACCAAAGGTATCCGTGCATGCTTCGAGCTACCAGGGATGCGACGGTGTCGGGCTTTGAGGTTCTACGACATGTCGAACGGCATCCCTGCCTCGAGAAAGATTGGCTCCCTTCCTCGCGCAGCTTTCGCATCCAACCGTCCACCTTCCATGAGATCATTCCCCCTCTGGTCCCTCCTCCCCTTCAGGCGACCCCGCCTCTGTCCCCCTCGCCCCTTTCGAGCACCCCATCGGGGAGGGTCCCAACGACTCCCCATGCGGGAGGGGCTCCGTGCAGGTCAAGCCAAGTTGCAACACGGGCGGAGTAAAAGAGAAGAGGCGGAGAGAACAATGGTGGCCTGCACCACGTTCCCCTTCTTGAAAAGGCAACTAGCACAATGGTGCCCTCCATCCCTGCGGAAGGCGAGGCGGGAAATGCAAGAGAGGCGGAGGAACGGAGACAATGCCTGGGAGCATAAGAACTAGGTCGCCTGGGTTTGCGCATCGTGCCCCGCGATGCGCGCGCCCCCGCGGGTGACCCATCATTTGGTGGGCGGTGACAGCGGCCGAGCGTCCAGGGGACCGCCAGCAATCTCACACGCAATCTGGCGCCGAAGAAGCAGCGCCGACGTCGGCAGATTCCTCCTGCTCCTCCTCCTCCCCCTCCTCCTCCTCCTCCTCCTCCCCTCCTCCTCCTCCCCCTCCTCCCCCTCCTCCTCTTCCTCCTCCTCCTCCTCCTCCTCCTCCTCCTCCTCCTCCTCCTGCTCCTCCTCCTCCTCCCGCGGGGGGCCCCGGCTGAACGTGCATACGGTGAGCGTCCCGTGCGCATAGATCATAGAGCCTGCAAGCTGCATAAAGAGCTGATTTCGGCAAGCGCTTCGACTGAGGTGAGACAGAACCACATTCGCGCGAAACGAAGCGAATCTTGAAACGGCCAATCCCAACGCAATGGAAGGACCGCAACAGCGGATCCCCGACTCAACCGCGACGGTTATTCGTGACTTCGTTCACGTCGGCCCCACCCGTTTGCAGGCGCGTGGACCGTCCATGAACATTCACGCAGGCTCACCGTACTGTGCACGGCTTGGGGAAGCGGAAACGCCAAGCGATTTCGGCCAGGCCATGGCCAGGCCATGGCCCAGCATGCTGACCCAGGAGACTCGCAGCAGGGTACAACAGCTACATAAAGGCTGGACTGCACGTGAGAATAATTGGCTCTGCGCCAACCGATTGCCTTACAGGCAATACGTTGGGCCAAGCAGGTGGAGAAGCAGTTGGAGCAGTCGATACATATAGTTGTGTTAATACCATGGGCACCTATATTCTCAGAAAGCGGATCTGCCTTGATCTACGGCGCGCGGGCGGGGCTGGGTCCAGAGTGCCCCGGGAAGGCCCCAAGACGGCCCCAGTGCCCCAAGAGGGTCCCAAGACTGGCCAAGAGGGCTCCAAGATGCCTTTCAGACGGTCCGAGACGGCCCCGAGTCACCGAGCGATCGGTCCAAGACGCTCCAGATAGCCTCCAGATGGCTCAAGAGGTCTTCAAGACGCCCTAAGAGGCCTCCAGAAGCCCTCCCAAGAAGGCTTCAAGAGGCAAGAATCGTCCCATTCCTCAAGGGAACCCTGCCCTCTTAGCCCATGCGACTCTTCGGCCTCCACGGCGTCCAGGACGCCCCGAAACGCCCCAAGAGGACCCCAAGACGGCCCAAGAAGAACCCAAGACGGCCCACAGAGGGGCCCACTCGAACTGAGACTTCGAGCCCTCCGCCCTCAAGGGGCTCCCGAGACCGCCAGACGGCCCCCGAGAGGCCCCCCCAGAGGCACAAAAGAAGCCCCCGACGGTCCCCAAAAGGCTCCCGAGAGGCCCAAAGAGGCCTCCTGACAAGCCCAAGTAGCTCTGACCTCGAAACTCACACACGACCGCGCGCCAGGCCGTGTCCAAGTTGGCACGGCAACGGTCACACATATCGGAGGCTGGGGGGTGAGATGGCAGTGGTTCGGAGAGCCCCCCGCTGGGAAATCGGTTTCGGTGTCGTGTTCGTGCCGTGCGTGCGGGCGAGGCGAAGCTGCGTGGGCGCGCGAAAGGAATAATCCCGCCGTCGCTAGGACGATTCGGATGCAAAAGTCCGGCCCTCCTGTGGGCGCGCGGTGGCTGGGGGTGTCCCGCCGTGGTGTCCCGCGGTGTCCCGTGGTATCCCGTGGTGTCAGGCGGTGTCCTGCGGTGTTCCACCAGGGTGTCCCGATGGTGTCCCGATCGGTAGTGAAGTCGATAGTGAGATCGATAACGACCAAGATGTGGTGAGACCGGTAGTGAGATCGGTGGTTGAATCGATAATGCGGTCGGCAGTGATGTCGGTAGTTGCATCGATCGCGCGAGCGGCAGAGAGATTGATAGGGAAATCGATAGGTGCATCGATAGTGCAATCGATAGTGGTCGATAGCGCGATCCATTGTGAGATCGATTGTGGGATCGATTGTGGGATCGGTTGTGAGCTCGATTGTGAGATCGATTGAGATCGCTTCAGAGGTAGAATGTGAAATCGACAGTCAGATCGGTCGAGTGAGATTCATAGTAAGATCGATCGTAAGATCGATAATGTGATCGATTGTGAGATCGACTGTGGGATCGATAGCGAGATCCGTTGAGTCAGCGCGATAGTGAGATTGGTTGTGAGATCGATCAAGTGAGATCGGTGCTGAGATCGACAGTGGGATCGGTTCAGTGGGCTCTCCTGGTCACAGTCGTCGCGACCACTCACGCATCGCATTGCTACCACCGTGGCCGGTGCGATCGCTATCACGACACTGCGATCACTGCTACCGCAGCAGCGTGGCATTAACCACGACGGGTTCGGGCGACTGGCGCGCAGCTTGCTTGCAGGCGATGGTGCGAGTGCAAAGAAAAGCCATCACATCTCCATCAACACTCAACCCTCACAGGCAGCAAGCATTCATCACAGCGCAGTGGCGGTGGCAATGATGTCGCTCGATGGTGTCCCGATCGTACCCAGCGCCACTCAGTATGAGATCGCTAATGGGATCGATCACTGGATCCATCAATACTGAGACTGGCCGTGAGGTCGATAGTGAGACCGATCGAGTGAGATCAATAGCGGGATCGATAGTGACATAACATCGCGGCGCGACATCGTCACCAACTCGAGGGCGCGCCACCAGCATCGTCATCATCACACCCTTCGCAGTTGCCAGCAGTCGATTATTTCCTCTCCCGCCAACCTCCTCATCACCCGACGGGTGGTCGAATAGGCGTGTACATATATATATATATATATATAAATAAATTAATAAATGAATAAATAAATAAATAAATATGTGTATATGTGAATATATATATATATATATATATATATATATATATATATATATATAAGTGTATATATGTGCATATATATATATATATACCCCAAGGAACCAGCGTGGGGTTGTAGAGCACGAGGCGGCTGGCGGCACGCCTCGCAGGCGCCGCGACGAGCAGCCGAAACAGCAACAAAAATTCCTCCTACGGGTCTTGAATAACTATCCTGGGCTCTCATTGGAATCCGATTGGTGTCTTGTGGCACTCCCGTCTCATTGTGACCCAAACTCCGGCTCGCACATGCTGAGACAGCGGGACAGGACAGCGCTAGAATGGAAGTGCACATATACGGACCTCCGCGCCGAATAAAACTGGAAACTCGATCGGCCCGTGAGCTTCCAACACGAGTGTACCGCTCCGAACAAGGCGTCGGAATTTCGGACACTCCTTCTCGAATCAAGGTTCCACACAGACAGGATTTGGTCGCAGTGTCAAAGGTCGAGGCCGACAGATGCCTGCTCCACAGACTTCTTCCCACGCGCTCGGCACCATTGACCTGGCAATGACTCAGTCCCAGCTTCAACTCCTCGTAACAGCATGGAGAACCCTTCGACACTCCTCCTCCTCCCCCTCCTCCTCCTCCTCCTCC